GTAAAGGGTTACGTCGATGCAAATTTTGACACTGATCCAGATGACTATAAATCTCAATCTGAATATATATTGAAAGTGGGAGCAATTAGCTAAAGTAGCTCCGTGCAGAGCATTGTTGACATAGAAATTTGCAAAATACTTACGGATCTGAATGTGGCAGACCCGTTGACTAAACTTCTCTCACAAGCAAAACATGATCACACCTTAGTACTCTTTGTGTGTTAATCACATAGCGATGTGAACTAGATTATTGACTCTAGTAAACCCTTTAGGTGTTGGTCACATGTCGATGTGAACTATGGGTGTTAATCACATGATGATGTGAACTATTGGTATTAAATCACATGGCGATGTGAACTAGATTATTGACTCTAGTGCAAGTGGGAGATTGAAGGAAATATGCCCTAGAGGCAATAATAAAGTTATTATTTATTTCCTTATATCATGATAAATGTTTATTATTCATGCTAGAATTGTATTAACCGGAAACATAAAACATGTGTGAATACATAGACAAACAGGGTGTCACTAGTATGCCTCTACTTGACTAGCTCGTTGATCAAAGATGGTTATGTTTCCTAGCCATAGACATGAGTTGTCATTTGATTAACGGGATCACATCATTAGGAGAATGATGTGATTGACTTGACCCATTCCATAAGCTTAGCACTTGATCGTTTAGTTTGTTGCTATTACTTTCTTCATAACTTATACATGTTCCTATGACTATGAGATTATGCAACTCCCATTTACCGGAGGAACACTTTGTGTGCTACCAAACGTCACAACGTAACTGGGTGATTATAAAGGTGCTCTACAGGTGTCTTCGAAGGTACTTGTTTGGTTGGCGTATTTCGAGATTAGGATTTGTCACTCTGACTGTCGGAGAGGTATCTCTGGGCCATCTCGGTAATGCACATCACTTAAGCCTTGCAAGCATTGCAACTAATGAGTTAGTTGCGGGATGATGTATTACAGAACGAGTAAAGAGACTTGCCGGTAACGAGATTGAACTAGGTATTGAGATACCGACGATCGAATCTCGGGCAAGTAACATACCGATGACAAAGGGAACAACGTATGTTGTTATGCGATCTGACCGATAAAGATCTTCGTAGAAAATGTAGGAGCCAATATGAGCATCTAGGTTCCGCTATTGGTTATTGACCAGAGACATGACTCGGTCATGTCTACATTGTTCTCGAACCCGTAGGGTCCGCACGCTTAACGTTACGATGATAGTTTCATTATGAGTTTATATATTTTGATGTATCGAAGGTTGTTCGGAGTCCAGGATATGATCACGGACATGACGAGGAGTCTCGAAATGGTCGATACATGAAGATTGATATATTGGAAGCCTATGTTTGGACATCGGAAGTGTTTCGGGTGAAATCGACATTTTACCGGAGTACCGGGAGGTTACCGGAACCCCCCGGTAACCTAATGGGCCTTAATGGGCCTAGTGGAGGAAGTGGAGAGGAGGCCAAGGGGCAGCCGCGCGCCCCTTCCCCCCAGTCCGAATTGGACAAGGAGGGGGTCGGCGCTCCCCCTTTCCTTTTCCCTCTATCTCCTCCCCCCCCAAGTCCTAGTCCAACATGGAAAGGGGGGGGGGAGTCCTACTCCCAGGAGGAGTAGGACTCCTCCTGGCGCGCCCCTTGCCTGGCCGCACCTCCTCCCCCTTGCTCCTTTATATACAGGGGCAGGGGGGCACTCCAGAGACAACAATTGATCATTGATCTCTTAGTCGTGTGCGGTGCCCCCTCCACCATAGTCCTCGATAATATTGTAGTGGTGCTTAGGCGAAGCCCTGCGACAGTAGAACATCAAGATTGTCACCACGTCGTCGTGCTGACGGAACTCTTCCCCGACATTCTGCTGGATCGGAGTCCGGGGATCATCATCGAGCTGAACGTGTGCTAGAACTCGGAGGTGCTGTAGTTTCGGTGCTTGATCAGTCGGGCCGTGAAGACGTACGACTGCATCAACCACGTTGTGCTAACGCTTCCGCTTTCGGTCTATGAGGGTATGTAGACAACACTCTCCTCTCTCGTTGCTATGCATCACCATGATTTTGCATGTGCGTAGGAAAATTTTGAAATTACTACGTTCCCCAACAGCAACAACGAGAAGATGAAGATACAGGTTGGTCTATGCTCATCACGGAAGGCTTTCATGGAGAAGCCACGACACATCCAGCCATAGACAATTGTCAGATGTCTTCGTCAAGCTTCTGTATCTGCTGGCCGAGTGGTGATCGTCCTTCCTCCTCCCGACCATGGAGCCAAATGGGTGGCAGTGCATATTCTCCACCAAGTCTATGGTGAGGTGCCATGGAGGCTCAGCTGCACCAAGTGGTGTCATCTTCGGTGACGGCGATATTGTGCTCGTGCGTGAGATCCTAAGCCCTCGATTGTGGTTTCCGTCAGCATATTGGGGTGCTCTTTGCATAAGCCAGGGACCAATTTTCTATTTCTTTCAGGTCTTGATACAAGTTGGCTTGTCTTTATGTTTCCTATTAAATCAACATCAGGGTCCTTCTTGACCCCTCTATTGAATAAACTAAGCTATAAAGTATCCTTACAACCACAATTGCATGGATTATCATAGCATGTTTCGCGGAGGTATTCCCACGTATTTTATCGGGCATGAGGATCTAACGTTAGGCATTCCCCATTACCATAACGGGCGTGCTGCAACCTAGCTAGGGTTCATAGAGAGATCGAAACTAGACAAAGATTAAAACCGTTAAAATGACGAGTAATTGTTATTGAATTCAAATAATATTCTTGTATAGTTGTTACATTCTCTAGTTTGTATCCAAGACCGAAGTTTTTTTGGAAAGGAGGATTACCCTTGGCCTCTGCATCAGAACGATGCACATCGGACCGAAGTTTGGGATCCCACATTTCAATCTTTGCCGGTTCCCCTCGTTTCCCACCCTTCGCGTGAGGTTCGTGTGTCTTTGGCGACGACATCCAGTGGCGGGATAAATGTCCATGTCTTTATCTCGCCATGGAGCCGTCATCGCGTTATGCTCCAGAAAGCTCGTGGTTCTCACGTCTCACGTGTTTTATACTTTTGTTTCTTTTCATCACCGTTTGGCTACAAAAAGTGTCGTTCAACGACCCGACTTCGTGAAAGGCGCCTCTCAAGACGCTATGTGGTCAACGACCTTATGTGTTCATCTCTTAGAGCTTGGGACTCCTGATGCACCTCAAAATCTACGAGGTTAGTCCACCTCGTGGATATGTAATTTGGTCATCAGGGAGCGCATAGAGAAATACCAAGATGTGAACTATCGTAGGTCGAGAGTTAACTCAAACAATAATCTTAATGTGATTTTAAGTTTATGAGTGATCTTTCTCTTATTGAACTTAGTGATCATTGTTAGTACACTTCAATTTCGGCTATTCATATGTGCATTTTACTTTCTTTATTACCTAATAAATTATTCATTCATTTATTTTAAGGACGGCAAGGCGGTTCCTAAAACAAGACAATATAAACAAAAAATGAAGTTGAAAAACAAGGCAAACATGGAGGAGAAATGGAGGGCCCAGTGTTCATTGGGCCGGACCGGGGGCCTCGCAGCCCGCTACCACCCAAAGAAAAAAGTAAGTGAAATACACGGCCGCCCCGCCTCAGCGTCACTCTCCCCGACTCTGGCAGCGAGCGACGCGCGGCAACGGAAAAATCCAGAGGCGCGAAACTCGAAACTTCTCCCGCCGCGCGCCCCTCGTTTTGTTTCGCACCCCCCGTCCTTCCATTCCATCTCCGAGATCTGCCGTTCCGATCCCCTCCCACCTCCGACTCCTCGTGAGAATCCTCCCCGGCGAAGCCAAGCGGAGCGGAGATCCCTAGGCCGGCGCCATGGATACGGAGCCCTTCGACGAGGCGGACCTCCTCGCCCTCCCGGCCTCCCCCGTCGCCTCCCCTCCCCGCCGCCTCAAGCGCCTCAAGAAATCCTTCCAGACCGCCGCTGCCGCCGTCTCCCCCCATAAATCTCCGCCGCCGCAGCCGCCGGCGGAGGAGGAAACCCTGGCCCCGCACCTCGGGTCTCCCCCTCCTCCTCCGAACCACTCCCCACCGCCTTCAGAGGAGGAGGCCGTGGCCCCGCGCCTAGGATCTCCTCCTCCCCCGACGACGAACCCCTCTCCCCCGCCGCCTCCGCCGGCGCCAGACGCGGAGGCGGTGGCCCCGGCGCCGTCCTCGCCTCCCGTCCCCGTCTCCTCGCCGCTACCGCCGGCCGACACCGCCGAGGACGACGATGAGGAGGGGGATGACGGGCTCGACCCGCTCTTCTCGGAGTCCGCCGGGGGCGGGGGTTGGGACCCGCTGGGTCTGCCGACGGGAGAGGACGACGACGAGGAGGAGGAGATGCTGGCGGGAGGAGGGCTCATCGAGGAGCTGCGGAGGGAGAAGGAGAAGTCCTCCGCCAAGAAGCGGCTCAACATGGACGAGGGTGAAGAGAGGGTCGAAATGGCTGTCGAGCCAGAGCGCGAGGTCGCTGTGACGGGGAAGAGGAGCAAGAGGAAGAAGAAGGATGCGGATGCGGAAGGGAAGGGGAAGAAGAAGAAGAAGGCGGAGGATGGGGAGGGGAAGAAGAGGAAGAAGGACAAGGTGCCCAAGGAGTCGGCCGCATCCAAGAAACGGGCCGAGAAGGTAACATTTCGATAATTTTGTTTCCTTTCCTTCAGTTTGCTTGATTGCATCTGCGGGCTGATGTGTGTCCTGTGGGCTGATGTGCGCAGGAGAGGAGGGCTCAGCTTGAATCGATCCATGCCGAGTCGCAGAGGCTGCTACGAGGTATATATCCTGACAGTGTGCATGGTTGGAAGCAGATGGTGTTAGATTTGTGCATATCTAACTGTTTCTTGTTGATTTTGTTCTCTGCAGAGACAAGAAAGGCGTCATTTAAGCCAATTGCAGAGCCAGTGTACAAACCCATCTCGTCAGTCCTGGAGAAGATCCGTCTTCGGAAGCTGGAGATTCAGAAAATGTCAGTTGTCTGATTGCTTTTCTGAGGTTATGCAAATATCACAATGACTATCCGCTGATGTTATTTTTCTCCACTACGGTTTGCAGGTCAAATACTCCTGTCGAAGAGGAAGAGGAAGAGGAAGAGGAAGAGGAAGAGGAAGAGGAAGAGGAAGAGGAAGAGGAAGAGGAAGAGGAAGAGGAAGAAGACGAAGGCGAAGAAGAAGATGCCTCTTCAGAGCCCGAAAGCGATCCCGCTGAAAAGCCAGCCATACCCGAGGTTAAGGAAGCGGGTTCAGATGACAAAAATTTGAAGAATGTGAGTCTTCATCCAGATAGCTTGATTTGAGCTCAGTATATTGTCTATAAAACTAAAAGGCTGTGAATCGTTGTAGGATGATGCTGACAAGGAGGTTGGAGCAAATGCTGGTGACCTGAGTGACCACACCAGTCTCCCTGAGGATGAGGTGATCACTGCTTTCACTCGGCTAGTATGCTGTTTGGTGTTTGCACTGTACTGATGCTGTGTCTTGTTTGCAGGATGCTGTGATTAGCGACAAGGATCTTAATAAATGTGGTAACAAATCTCCAAACAAGGTCAGCGCCCCTTCCCTAATTCTGTAATCATCTGCAGCTGCTGTTGTACCCATAAGAGCATGCCTCGATATTGTGTTATTTGCGTTGAAGTTTCTATCTCAACTTGAGTGTCACAATGTCAATGAAAGCATTGGTTTGATTATACATATCGATGCAAAACATGCTTTGTGCTTTACTGTTGTTGAATCAATGGTTGCTGGATTATCAAATGGTTGGTACTATCTACTATGGTTAGTCAGTTATTGGTTGCCCAGGATTATCATAGATTCAAAATTATCTCACAGCGAAGTAAGAAAAGAATATTATGTAAACTCAATGGTTGACAATTCTCATAAAGTAGAAAATGATTACTAGACATATAATGCATCTATATTTGAAAGTTTAAGAGCTTAATTATATTTTTGTTTAATGATTTGCTTGTTGGATTATTGGTTCTACCAGGAACTTGTTGACAATTCTCAAGATAAACATGAAGACAATGCCCAACCAAGCGATGACTCCATTGATGCTGTAGATGAAGAAGTCCATCTGCCTCCCTCTTCAAGCCCTACCAAGAATACAGATGATAGGTAAGCATATCACACCCTCCTCAGTCGATGATACTAACACCTGTTAGCATTTACAAATGTACTTATCTTGTGTAAAGAAAATTCACCCCTTTGCCCCTTTAAAAACTTACTTATGCACATGCAATTTATTAATTATTATGTATGGTCTGCATAAGATTATAAAAGCTTGTTTTGGTTGTAGCACCGCATATTATCTCTTCCTGTAGCCTTGACATGTGAATCGCTAAATAACAGAACCATGTAAACTTCAATGATTATATTTTGCCAATTAAAACCTGTTTGACATCCTTCTTCTATCCATCATCTGTTAGCAATGGCCTGGTGCATTTGCATGGAATTTGCCTGATTTTTCATATGTATATTGATGCACTATACTACTGGCTATTAAACATTTTGTTGAATTATCTGTCTGGCTCAGTTCTTCAGAAGATGAAGAAGAGGAAGAAGATAATGACAAGGAGAACATATATCCAGGCATTCAGAAAAATGATGTAAATACCCATCAACAACCTCGACGAACTCTTGCAAGTGATTCATGTCCAGATGCTGCTGTCCTGAAAGACTTTCTAGACGTTGAAGCTGAGGAAGAGGACGACAGTGATGATGACATGTCGAGGTTTAAGGACAACGAAGAAGATGATGGCGATGATGAAAATGAAGTACTTGCTGCTCTGATTGCTGCTGGATTTGAAGAAGAAGAAGTAGATCATGAGAAACGTAATGCACTCCACCAAAAGTGGCTTCAGGATCAAGATGCTGCTGAAACAAATAATTTCATTCAAAGATTAAAATATGGTCATCAGGAGCAGAAAGTGTTGATGGAGGAAGACGAAGATGATATCGAAGACTGTGAGGATGAATCAGAAAATGAAAGGTCACATGACTTGACTCCAAATATTGTGCGGCAGAATTCTGAGAAGGCAAAACAAATGATTGCCAAAATGTTCACAGATGAGAATGACACTTATGAACACTCTGATGATGAGGAAATAGAGGAGCATTTGGCCCGTCAACGTATTTCAAAGCGAGAAGTAAGCGCTGACACTTTTTGAATACCGAGTGTCTTCAGTTATGCTTGATATTTCATTTTTAAAGTGCTATAGTTCCTCCCTTGCTGTGCTAGTACAGAACTTTTATCCACCCTATGTGCTTTAGCAAAATAATTTGAGTGTCTTATTCTTTGTTAGGTTCATAGTACTTCGTTCATATCTCCATTGGAAGATGACAGTTCAAGGGAAATGTTTAGCCTTATAAAGAAGCTCAATATTGCTCCTCAAGCCCCCAAGAGGAGGGGCAAGCAAGCCACATGTAAGGATTCCCAAAATTTCAATACATGTCTATGATTGAGAACATGGCTGGTCATCTACTAATTACTATTTTTTATTGATGTTTTCAGCAAATCTTGAAATGCTTATGGTCGGAAGTAACAGCAACTCATCATCAAAGGTAAATGCTTACTGACACTCGTTTCTGTTTGCTGTCGTACTTCTCACCTGGATGTTGATAAGCTGAAAGTTTGTAACATGAATTGACTTCATATGGCAAATCATCGCCTATGTTGCTCCAAATTGAAAATTCACCTAGTAAAACCTGGACTTAAACATGTACTATCCCTCTCATTGTTTTGTTAGAGAACGTTTTGTGGTTCTCTTCCATTGCAACTTGCAAGGCATTGCTGAGATTTTCTCATAAACTGGTTTCCCCCCTCATGTTTGTCTCTTGACAGTATTGTATATTCTTTGCAGTCTTCTTTTCTCGGCCGAACAACGAGTGGTCCAATCTCATCTTCTCATAGATCAACTTACAAAGGCTACATTTTCGGTCGCGATGACAGCAACAGCAACAGCAAGAGCTGCTTTGCAGCCTCTGAGAGTAACTCGGATGTGGTAAGCTTGATGAAAACTTGCCTCTGATCTTGTCATAATTCCAATGCGCTCAGAGGCAGAGTCGCACATTCCCTGTATTCAGAAACATTCTCATGTGGCCCCTCATTCCATTATACAGCAGGACCAGGTGAACCCCAGCCAAGCCAAGAAAGCGAAGTTCAGCAGTTCACAGACAAAGCCAGCCGCATCAGGCACAAGCTCCGAGGGTGGCTCGACTTCAGGCGCCTCTCTGTTCGAGCTCCTGCGCAGGTCAACTTCCGCCGCCGAGAAGCAAGAGCACAAGCGCCCCGAAAGCTTCGGCATCATCACGGAGAGCCAAGCTGTGCACCAGTTCTCGGCGTTCAAGCTGTCAAGGAAGTTCTCCAAGATAAGAGCAAGGAACTGACTCACATAGCCTCCCTTGACCTACTCACAATTGCTCCCTTGCACCTGTTTACGTCAAAAGGCAAATCACTTTTTTCGCGGTATTTTCAGATGTACCTGTCTGTGCTCTGGAAAAATGCACATTGGATATAAACTCTGTATCACTTTAGGTTCAAGATAAATGTGCGTCTGTGTTTGCTGTATATCGGTTTTTCTTAAGGCTGCTGTATACAGTATCAGTTGGTTGTCTCTGAGTGCATGCGCATGACTCTTTTTTTTAGGGAATGGCTCCTTTTTTGTTGATCTCCTGACCCCCAAAGTAGTATGGGCCTGTCTGTTTTAATGGGCCGGACCAGGCTTAAATGGCCCAACGCTCCTTACCGTGCCACCCACCGGTTGGTCAACGGCGGCCCAGTCTTACCAGCCGCTCCCGCACGTGTAGAAAATTCTAGGGTTCAAATCAAATCGACCTTGTCCTCCTCGCCCTATCCTCTCGCTTCCCCCGTCTAATCCCCACCTCAGCAAGCAAACCCTAATCGACTGCCACGGAGGAGGCAGGATCGAAGGTGCGCGACCGAGCGGGAGCTGGCCGTACCTGAGATCCGAGCCACCGGAGCTCAAAATCCCCCCCGCCGCCGCCGCCGTCGCTCTCGCGGTAAGAAGATCATCCGTCCATTCCATTCAATTTGCAGCTGAATTCGACGCTGCCGGTGGCCGGAACCCCGCGTTCCTCCCCGAATCGAGAAATTTTCGAAATTTTTGCGTTCTGAGCTCCGGATTTTTGTTTCTCTCCCATGGCAGCCGCGGCAGGAGGGTGATGAGATCTTCGGGAGCGGGCCTCGCTCGGTCATAAGATGCTAGCCGGCGGCGTTGGCAGCAACAGAGGCGGCAGCTCCCATCTCTCCTCCCCCTCCTCCCAGAGGGACCTCCGCGGAGGCCGGAGCTTCCTCTTCGGGAACACCTGGTTCATGCTCTCCGCCTACCCGGCGCGCCTGCTGCACACCGCCGACCGCCGCGCGCCCGCCGCCGCCTTCGTCGCCGCCGCCATCCACCGGACGCCCCGCGTCGTGCGCGCGCACGGCGGCACGGGACAGGGCCTGCTGCAGCGGGGCATCGTCATGGCCGCCTGCGGCTACGCCTTCGGGCGGGCCGACCTGGGCGCCGCCGCCAAGCGCCAGCTGGAGAAGGACTCCTCGTCCGTGGCTGCCCACGCCTCGCGCATCGTCGCCATGGGGTCAGCTGGGACGGCGGCGAGGCCCGACGTCTCGTTCAAGTACCGGGGTTTGGAGTACTGTAAGAAGGTCGGCGTGAGCTTGAGATGCCGCGAGCAGTGGGGGATGGCTAGGACGTTCTGGACCAGTGCGGTTGGGCCGGGCAGGCAGCTCAGCTTCTCGGTTGACCCTTGGGCTCGGGATTTCAGCACGTTGTGTGCGGCGCCTTACTCTGCTGGAGCTACAGAGAGTCAACTGACTCTGGATGAGGCATTACAGGAGAAGCAGACGGATAACTCCACCGTTGCCTCTGATGGGTATGTATCCTGATTCCTGTTGCATGTGCCATTATGAATTCGAAATGACTGTTTCCCTTGGAATTTCTGTTAAATTGATCTAAAACAGATAACAGATATGAACACGCATTTAATTTCCATGAAATGTTCGATTCCTTTAGAATTTCATGCACTGTTGTGTTTGTTGCCTTCATATCTTGTCAAAAGAAGAGTATTTGTATGTAACCCATGAGGAATGCCTGAGTCTTGATATAGGTCCATACTATGCATGAATGCTTCTATTAGTCACCCAAAATGTTGTGTTCCATGCTTACCCTTGTCTATATGCAAGTGCTAACATGCAAGCAAGCATTTTCTCAATCAAGAAAGTTAAGTTCGAAATGGGACTAATGTGATTATTTCATGACAAGGCCACAAGGGATATAAGTTTGAGTTTTGCTTCGGTACACCCCCCCCCCACCCCCACCCTCACCCTCACCCCTTCCCTCCCTTG